GCCTCGCCCTCTCAGCCGCCGCCGTCCGGCTCGCCGTCGCCGCCGCCGCATCTGCTGCCGCCTCCCTCCGCCTGGCCTGCGCCGCCGCCGCCGCCGCCCTTATGCGACGGAGCGCCGCCGCCCGAAGGGTCGGCCGTTCCCGCGCAGCACTTCGACCTCACGCCGTGGAAGCTGCAGACGGACCTGCCCAAGTGCGACGGCGGCAGCAGCGTGCGCGAGATCAAATGGCCGGAGCTCGTTAGCTACAGCAGCTCCGACTTCTTCGCCGACGCGGCCAACGGCTCGCTCACCTTCGTGGTGGACGTCGACGGCGCCACGACCGGCGGCACGTCGTACCCTCGCACCGAGCTGCGAGAGCTGTTCGAGTGGAGCCTGATCGAGGGGCACCACGCGCTGGCGGCGACGCTGGCGGTGGAGCGGCTGATGAATGGCACCAAGGAGTCCGTCGTCGTCGCGCAGGTCAAGGACTCGGTGGGGAACCCGCCGCTGCTCAAGGTGCGAGCCAAGGTACACGGCTCGACAAGGCCAAAGTTCCGGCTCGAGGCGCGCGTCAAGTACCACCAGGAGTCCGACGGCGCGGTCAAGGAGCTCGGCCTCGCCTTCGACCATCTCTTTGAGTTGGGCGATCCGATCGAGCTGCTCGTGGTCGTGAAGCAGCTGACGGTCGAGGTGACGGCTGCGGCGGTGGGTGGGGTGGCGCAGACGCTGTCGCACGACTACAGCGGCGTGCGCCCGTTCAACGAGACGCTGCAGGACGTCTTCCACTTCAAGGCGGGGGTCTACGCTCAGAGCAACCTCGCGAGTTCCTCTCCGGGGCAGCAGTGCATCGCCACCTTCCGTAGCCTGACGGTCACGCACGCTGCGCTGCCATCGCAACCTCCTCCGCCGCCGCCGCCGTCCGCCTCGCCCTCTCCGCCGCCGCCGTCCGCCTCGCCGTCGCCGCCGCCGCCTGACGTGCAGCTGCTCGACCTCCGCGCCGCCACCACTTACCAGGACTCGAGCCTTTTCGACAAGCAGGCGCCCGTGAGCGACCTGTCATACGCCGACAGCACGACGGGACGGCCGTGGGCCGAGTGCGGCCAATACACAAGCCAATGGTGGGGCGTCGACCTCGGGAGCGAGGTGTATGTGCGCTACGTGCGGCTGCAGAACCGCAACGACTGCTGCGCGGAGCGGCTGACGGACGTCGACATCTATCTCGGCTCGACGGCGGAGACGTACACGGGCAACGCGCTGGTGAAGTCAGACGTGAGCGTGTTGTCGAACGTGATGTTGGAGGTGGAGATCAACGCGCTGGGGCGCTACATCTACCTCAACCGGCCGTCTGCGGCGGGGCTGACGGTGTGCAAGTTCTACGTCTTCGCCTCAGCCGCACCGCCTGGGCCGCCGTCGCCGCCGCCACCGCCGCCTGCACCGTCACCGTCGCCGCCGCCGCCGCCGCCGCCTGAGCTGCTCGACCTCCGCTCCGCCCCCTCCGTGCCGGTGGTCGATGGTATCGATAAGCAGGCGCCCGTGAGCGACCTCTCATACGCCGACAGCACGACGGGACGACCGTGGGCCGAGTGCGGCCACTACACACCCCAATGGTGGGGCGTCGACCTCGGGAGCGAGGTGTATGTGCGCTACGTGCGGCTGCAGAACCGCAACGTCTGCTGCGCACAGCGTCTGACAGGCATGGACATCTATCTCGGCACGACGGCAGAG